TTTTAGCACAGCTAGGACTTATTTTTATCACACTTAATTTCCATAGCTTTTTACTTGAGCCTTATCTTTTCCTTAAATAGAGACTTTCATCTCAGAGGATCCCAAATGCTTCTTGCAGGAGTATTTTGGCAGCTTTTCACTATTGTTTCTTCACAAAAAGTGAAGAAAAATCTCAATTACGTTGAACTGGGAAGCTGTAGCACAACCATTACACCACCAGCTGCGCAGCCTCCATGCCTAGTACTGAGATTGCTTGGATGCCTTGGAAAATCTCCTGAGCCGCCTTCTGTGTCGGAAGGGTCGCTGTATGGTTGTTGTGTTTTTGTTTTTGTTTTTTAATTGATTACATCTGCACTTCTTCCATCTCCAGAACTTTAAAGGCATGTTTTTTAAACTCCCATTTTTAACTCTAAGCCTGATTCCAAAATGTCTAGGGGTTTTACATCTCCCTTTGTCTTCAGTGAAGGTCCGGGGGTTTTAAACCTCTGGTAGACAATGGTGGTTTTATCTGGGAGGTTTCTTGTGTAGATATGAAATCAGACCCCTTACCTTGAGGCTTCTATGGTTAAAAATGTTCTACTTCACTGGCAGCTCGCTGGTATTGATGTTATGTTACTCTGTGCATGAACTGCCAACTGAACATTTCAAAACAGTCTATGAAAGCCTGAGATGAGAAGAACTGAGTGAAGCAGGAACTGAAATGGGGCAGTGCTGAGCATCTTTAAATATTTCAGATAATTCGAGCAGCGAGCCCTAGTTATGGGGTGGCATGGTTCAAGGAGGAAGCTTTTCTAACTTTGCAGCCTCTTCAAAATTCTCTTTCAGTTCTGGAGGGAAAAGAAGACCAACCTGTGAGTTTGGTAGTTACATTAGCTGAAGTGGTAGATGCAATAACACGTTTCAAAATCTCTGTGATGGGGATGGGTGCCCTCCTTCAATTCTACCTGTAGCAGGAAATTATTTGGTGAAACCTTTCCCTAGTCAGCCTATTTCCTGTAGGGGGTGAGAAGGCAGCTTTAGAGAAACAACCAAAACTCTCAGCCTTCCTTTCTCCATCCCCTTTTGCTTCTGTTAGTAATCCCTGACATTTTGAAACCAGAGGTGATAAATTGCAAGGTGACTTTTAGGTTAGTCATATTTATAAAAGATTTTTGTTTTTATTTTTTTTTATATAAAAGGAAGTAATTTCAATGCATTAGCTATAGAAATATGCCTTCTCTGGGTTTTTGCTCCCAATCTAAGCTCCATAGCTCCAGTAATGGGGCAGTAAGTGAAGTATCAGGACTCAGTATGGTAAAACAGAAACAGTTTGCTTGTAGCTGTTGGTGCAGAAGAGCTTGGCCCATGGCACTCCAATTAATGCAGAGTTTCATATGATGAGGTGAGAGGCCGTGGAAATCTTTCTTGTTTCCTTGCACCATGAGGCATGAAATCTGATTAGTCTTGTCCTGTTATAATTGTGATTTACAATCCTAAAGCTACTGGCATGTTCCCAAAAGACCACCTATATCCATGAGATATAGAGTGGAGTATACTGAAAAGGGAGCTTTCTCCCAGCGTGTCAGAAAACAGGATGAGTACAGGATGGTTCAGGGCTGCCAGAACTCATCTAGCTTTAACAAGTGAAATCCAGTATGCTCAGATACCGACTTTTGATGAAATTCTACATGCCCAAGGAAAACATCCTCCTAAAGTGTATATGTTCCCCATATAGAAAATTAAAGGTGCTGCCATCACCTAAGGCAGAGAATACAAACATCTCAGAAAAACAACTTTTCTCAATACCCAACTTATATGTGCAAGTCTGGCGACGAAGTGGACTGAATCCTGTTATCTAGGTTTAGCTTCTCTCCAGTGTGATGGTCTGATCGCATAAAAAGAAAGGATCCCAAGTTTTACACATAATAAAATATATAGGATCCCATGTTTCACACATAATAAAATACATGTGCATAAATAACATATACAAATACTGAGCATGAGTGTCCAGGTTTGATAGCTGAAAAAATTGCTTTTAAATGTGAATGCATGTAGCTTTTAGCCTGGAAAGGTGGTTTAATTATCTAGCATCTAATTGGGGTGCTTGATGGTAACAACCGAAAGTCTAGGTTATCAGATAATTTAGAAATGAAGTTGTCTAGTGAATTTTTACCATGATTATTTAGGCAAATTGGGTATTTGCTGTGCAAATGGGCAGTCCATCGGTGGGAAATGGCTTGCTGACCAGAGATAACAAGGGGACCTAACCTTGTAGCCTCTGGCTGGCAAACCTCAATTAAAATGCAGTCCTGTCTTCTCCATGGAATGCTGTTTCCAAACTCTCATATTCAAGCCGCATAACCTCATTCATCAAGCATTCCCCTTGCCCAGAGAACAAGTTTCTTTTAAATAGGTAGCTTGCTATACAGCACTTTGCAGAGATCTGCTACGAAAGTCTTTTCACTCCACAACAAAGGAAAACAGGATCGAGGCAAATGAATTTGGGCTGGGCAATGAGGAGGGAGGTTTTGCCATAGCAAAGTCCCTAACAGCTGAGCTTTGTGGTTAGAAAGAGAAAAAGCTTAAGGGAGGGAAGAGTGAGTCTGCTTTATCTTGAGAGGAGTACAGCTTTATTTCTCTGCTGATTCACATTTCTTTTGAGACCTGCTAATTGCAACATCTCTCAGTAAGTTACTTACAGCAGTACTGCTGGGTAGAAATTGTGATAAATGCATAAACTGTGTCTTATTGATTTTTGTTGACATTTTACATGCTTCTTATGCATTCTAAACCTCCATTCAGTAATTGTCACTATGGTACACACTCCTGGATAATGAGAGCAAAAGAAGTGAATGAAGCAGTTTCTTGACCATTATGAACAATATTATTCAAGGCTCTCTGGGGTTTCTCGCCTGCCCTCCAGTATATCTCTATTTGTGCTCATCCCCCTATGAATTATCAAGACAAGAAATGAAAATCCTTGGTGTTATTTCTTCTGTTAATGATAATAACAGAAATGTGTTTTTTGTTGTTTTGTTTTGTTTTGTTTTTTAAGAGAGATTACTTTGATGGTAAATTTGGGCCTCTTTAATTTTAGTGCACAGCAGCAACATGGAAGCTAGCAGAGGTACTGTAGTTTATTTACCCTTCTACTGCACATTTGGTCTAGAATGCTGTACAGAAAGCTGTTTGTTACATCATTTTCTTTGACAGGACGTTGATGCTGAATAGCAGTAGTATAGCAACATGTAGTGTGCCTAAACAGCAGTAAGACATCATCAGTTCTTATGTTACCTGAGAAATACGTAACAAGTCATGACACTGCCGTGAAGTTTGCATAAAAGGATCCTGAATTCTGATTTTATAATGCTGACCCATCAGCCAGAGGTTCATAAGCCAGTTTAGGTTTTCTTGTACCAAGGGCCTTTACATTAAAGAGGAAAAACTACCGCATGATGCAAAAATGCATTGACTTTATTTTCATGACTAGATGTAGTGCTTTTGGGTAATGATCAGGCATTGCTTTCTCTTACTGTTGTTTGATTAAAATGTGAATACAGTCTTGACTTGATAATCTCACCAGGTGCACATGGAGCAAAAAGAAAAGGTATTTTATGCCTCTAATTGATTTGCATAAACCGAACAATCTGTTGCTTGTTGGATTGCAAAATGGTTTATTTTGCCCATTGGCCACAGGGGCAACAATATTATATTTTTGATGCCAGAATGTAGCTTTCATGCATTAGCTCTAAAATGACAATATGCTTTAGCCTCTCAGTGCTTAGATTTGCTTCATTTGGAAATCTTTTAAGTAGTAATAATAATAATGTTTTGAGGAAATTGAGTGGAACACTAAATTATTCTCTGAAACCTAAGTTCAAACTGTGCAAGGCTAAGGGAGCTGAAAATCAATGCACTTTTAAAGTCATTAGAGATCACAAGTGAAATAAGTCTGTGTTGCTTTAGCTAAGCTTTTAGTGTGCCATGGTATTATTACAAAATCAGCCTGAATCTGCATTAATTTCACAGTCTTTTTCTTTAAGATGCCCAAGGGTGCATGAAGAATAAAATGTAAATCTCAGAAGGCAGTGTTTTTATTAGTCAAAAGGGCAGTGAGTCATGCACTAAGAGAGTTGACCTGTACCATGCCTAGTATAGGTATGACTGACAACAGTAAAAGGGTGGAAAAATAGCCCAGACATTCGCCTACTGGCTTTTCATTATGATTTAAAAGGCTATAAAGCGAGAAAAGTGATTTTTTAGTTATTCATGCACACAGCTTCAGAATTGTTCGAGTTGGTGGTAGCTTTCATAGATCAAAGAATTATACATGTACCTAGGACTCTGAGAAACAAAAAAAAAAAAAGAGAGAGATTTTTATTTTAAATATGTTATTTTCTTAAATGTTGAGATTCCACCTACATTACTGAATTTTGTCTGAGTCTTTCCACACTTAGTTGCAGGGTGCACAGTGGAGTTTTTCTCATCCCTATTTGTATGGTTGTTCTGGGCACATCACAGAAATCTGTAAGTGACATTATGGACTCCTTTAAATTCTCAGTTCAGCTGCCGGTGATGCCAGTCCTTTATTCACTATCCAAAATTTACCTGCACAAAAGACATAGCAAGCAACTATTAATGCATGGCCTGAAGAGACTAAACTATGCAATCCAAACTCTGCATAAAAGCCTTACTTATTTCAAACCCTGTGGCTAAAGAACAAAACGAAAACAAAACAAAACAAAAACAAAAACAAAAAAGAACAAAGAAAAAAAAAATTAAAGAAAGAAACCCTTTCTCCTCACCCATCCCCACCTAATTTTTTTTTCTTTCATCTATGGTCAGATTAGCAAGTCAGCACTGTCGATAAATAAACTAGAGAAGTTGTTTATTTTTATGTACTACTGAGAACAGTGTCGTCTTGTGGCCGTTCTCGTAGACTGTGTTGGTTTAACAAGCGTCCAACCCTTTTGTCTTGTTGTTTTTTGTCTTTCCTGCTCCCTGTCCCCTTGTTCCCACAGGCTGTGCGTTTGTCACATTTTCTACAAGGGCAATGGCACAGAATGCAATCAAAGCCATGCACCAGTCTCAGACCATGGAGGTACAGTACTGTATCATTTGCCCTTTCTTTGTTTTCTTTGTGCAAATGATTGCGAATGGTAAAGCCATGCTCTCCTGGACCAGATCAGACACATGACAATCACAGATTTAAACCTTTTACCAACTCACTCTGCCTCTCCTTGTCAAGCTTATTTTCCTTAATGACCTGGAAATGCACAATAAGGTTGCCGTGTGGTATCCAACCACGGCTCTTTATCCTGTTTTCAGTGGCATTCAGCAGAAAATAAAAATGCCATGAATACCACTCCTCACTAATACTCAGAGTATATCTAATGAGTAAATTACCTTTAATATTAACACCCCCTCACCTCCTCCTCCAAAAAAATTCTTAGTTTCCTTTAAATAGATTTTTAAGTGTTCTGGTTTGCGCTGCTCTGAGAAAAAGCTCAGGAGATTTAATGTGGCCACGCTGAGTTACTAGTGCATGTGTTTTTCTGCAAATAGAATCTCTTTTTAAGTTAATATAATTTCTCCTTCATATAGCCAATAAAAATGCTAATGATGACAGAGCATACTGAAGCTTCCTGCAGAGCACCATCGTGGCTGGCCCCTTACAAGCAAGGGGCTCTATCTCCTCCCACACTGCCTCTACGGCCTCGTATTTTATAATGATGAGCAACACGAAACTTTAAACCTGTTCACTTAATGTGAATATATCTGCAGGCTAATGATCCGGTCATTGGAGTGGTGATCGAATGCCACAGCTTGTCTGGCAATCTCAAACTTTTGTCAGTCTGTGATTTTTGTCATGGTCTTTCAGAATTTTGCACAAAAAACCGCACAAGTATTAAGTCTTTACTTACTCTGGATCTTCTAGCTTATCATTGGAGAGTGCATGTTATACTGTATTATGTATACTGTATCTTCGTGTAGTGATGATTTTTCTCAGAGGTGGCATTGATGTTATGTGCACTTGTTTCTTTTTATTTATTTTTTCCACCAGGACCTTTCGATTTTTCTCAGTGACTTTTCTTTGCAATGCTCTAGTCTCCCACAGCATGCTGGGTGCTAAACAATCATTATTGCGTCATGTCGTTGAGCTGCTTTGTGTAACGAGCCAAGGGGGGAGAGCAGGGGTGGGAGGGTGGAGAGAAGAGAAGAAACAAAAAAAGAAAAAGAAGGCAGTGCATGAAAATGTCACTAACTGTTTCCTGTATTCTACAAGTAATGATACTGGCATTGCAAAGCTATTGTCTTTCCAAACATCACGTTTGAATTTGGTTGAGCTTATTTTATAATCAATGTGTTTTCTTTTCAGTGCAATGCATTTTTAGACTCTAAGTAAACAGTTTTAGATGAGAATCTGCCAATGAGATGAGAATAATTGAAATTATCTTTACTAGAAAGCTGATGCTATACAATATATGCAGTCTGACATTATATTGTGAGAAAACTGCCACTTTGAGTTTTTGAAATAATACTCGTAGTAATTTGTCTGCCATGCACTGCTCCATTAATTCAGATCTATATATTTTGCTGGGTTTGATTCCAGGTAAAAAGAAAATGTTTTTTTGGTAATATTGTGTTTTACCTCTATTTTTCTATGTGTTTTAATGTATTTTTCTGTCTAGCAAAATGAATTTTACACAGCTCTGCCTCAGAAGATGTTAATATTAAAGAGATAATACATCCCAGACAAATTCTCCCATTCTTCTGTTAAATGTCGTACTCCAAGTGAGGCTGCATTTTGATATGATATTCCAGTTGACTTTAGTTCTGTAGAATAGTTACTCTTGAATCTCAACATCTTTAGAATCATCATCAGTTAGGTCCCCAAATTGGCAAGGCAAAACATTTTGTACTTTGAACCTCTGGGTTTTTGTGCCAGTTGAGCTCAGGCTGAGAGTCCCTTCTTGGAGAGAAGCAGTACACCCTCCACCTCCATGGGTGATGGACTGAACAGAGTCTATACCTACTGTCTTGCTAACACAAAGAAAAATATGAAGGCAACACGAGCTGTTGAGAAGAAAACAGAACGAAGTGAGGTGCAGATGCCAAGCCACTGAATGAGGAGGGGTGGTGCACGTTGTGTATGTACTGGGACCTTCCTCTCAAGATAGAAAATGGAAAAGCATAGAGCAGAAGTCATTCTTTAAGCAAAACAATTTTGCTTTCTTTTACCAATACTGTCCTGGTAAAAACATAGGTTACCTAGTGTTAAATCTTGACTCTCAGCCTGAAACAGTGGTCCCTGGACACATTTATTTCACATTTAATGCAAAAAAAAAAAAAAAAAAGTGGGCTGGGGGGAGAATGTGTATTACACAATCACATCTCAACTCAATTACTGCAGTGTGTTTTTTTTCTGACTTCATTATTTTCTGTTTCTTGGCACGCATCATTGACCAAGATGTATTTTCAAAGTGGGCTAAGAAAGAACAACGGGGATGTTAATGTCCAGACGAACACATCTCCTAAAATAATGAATAGTTCTACTACTTTTTTGCATCTGACTTTGTGACCTGGTTAAATCAACTGATTTTAAAAACATAATTGCTGCTCTGAGTTTGTGCTCTTCTATCTCATTTCTGTGGGTTTGTTTGTTTGTTTAAGGCATTCAAATGCAGCACCAGTGGAAGACACTAATTTGTTATCATGGAGTAAATTTGATGCAACAATAACCCTTTTCTCATATAGAGCCACTTGCTACGTATAATTTCAGTCTTCAAAATGTTTGCTCTCTCAAAAATGATGAAGTGATGAAATATAGAGCAGACAGTGAAAAAATGAATTATAGATTCATAAATTGCAGAGATATTGTTTTTATACAATTTACTGACATTTAAGCATTCATAAATATGATGTCAGCTGTAGTGTTGACTGCTGAGCTGCTGAACTGAGAACTGAAACAGCCATAAAATATTTCTTCCTTTAAAAGTAATTTCTATTTCTTTGGAAATAGATTTAATTCTCCTGTATATCTAGGTAGCAGTCAGTAAGTTCTAGTTGTTTTTAGCCCAATGCTACCAACATTCATATTAAATACAGCTTGCTTTTTTATTAGTTAAACCAGAAAATTTTCTCTCTCACCCTTCAACCCCCAGCTCCCTTTTTTTTTATTATTTTTTTTAAGGGCCTTGTTTTTAATATTAGTATAAAAATCACTGAAGAGAGGTAATTGTGTAACAAGATGACTGCTTCATAATCTTTATTTGATTGCTGGAGTGGTATGTATCTCCTTTCTTCCTCCCTGAAACATTGAAAGACAATTTTACGATGAAACACGCAGGGAAGGAGTTGGAGGTGGAATAATAAATCACAAGTGATGATTTGCTAAGATAATTCTAAAGGAACAGTGTTGATGGGAGATCTTCATAAAAGAGATATTATTATTGTGGTTTATTTCATCATTTCATCTGTTGATTTTGAATGTTCTTATCATTTGTCCTGGTGTGAGGTTCTTCAAAGAAAAGGTACTCAGCTGCTCTTTGTAGATAATAGAGGACGGGAACTTTTCTCAAGGTGTTTGCAGTGTTGTGAGAGCAGACAGAGTTAGGTTAAGTAAAACCCCGCGCCCCATCCTACACTGCACACTTTGGCTAAAATGCTGCTGTGTTTTTTGGACTTGAGTCATCTTTCACTCCTACCATTGTGTTCAGATTGAAGTTAGACAAGAAATCAGTATAACAAAGCAAGGTGGTGGAGGGAAGTTATTCATTGGCTCCTGTGTAGCTCGAAAACAGTGTGGAATGGATTGGCAGGTTCTGTGACTCACCAAATGCTTGAGTTAATTTGAAGAACTGAATCATTGCAGTTTGCTCCCTTGATTTGAGAAAAAAAAAATAGAATAAAATAAAAAGGCTTGAAAGGTTACAATATGAAAACATATGATAGCAGGGAAAAAAAGTAGCGGAGACATCGTTCACATGTCTCATTCTCATAGCAACTTTGCCCAGGACTACCCAACCTGGAGTCCGTGTTTGGACATTTAGCCATTTAGCTTCCCTCAACAGTCCACAACCTTCTACTTCTTCTCAAGAGTCCCTCAGACATGGGTGAGGAGTAGACTGCAGACCAGATCTCCGGTTCTTTCTTAAAACCTCCCTATTTCCTTAGGTATCTTGCAGCCCTCCCATATCATGTAACAAGAGGCTTATAGAAGCACTAGGATAATCAGATAAAAAAAATAAAAGAATGGTGTCAATCAGGAATAGGCTGCTATCACCAGAACTAGTTGCTTTTGGTCTGCATTCTGCCCTTTGTTCACATCTTAAGGGTGTTTGATACAAAGCGTGCCAGGGAGCAGACCGCAGGAGGGTGAATTGTCCAAGCAGCATCACCCTTTGTGCTCACATGAGGTTCTTGATATGAAAAGGACCAGTGACCCGTTGATAATGGGCTCTGCATTAAATCTGGACCTATTTACTTAGGGTACACGAGCCAGCTGCACCGAGCATGACTGCACAGTCAGCCCATGGTGGCAGGGCAGCGTTGGCTGTGTGGTCCCTGGCAGCAGGGAGGTTGGACACCTCTCCCGTTGGCGATGCCTTGAAAACAGACTGCAGACAAAGCATCATGTCCATCTCATCAGCTGTGAAGCTTAATTAAAGAGGACTGGTACACTCGCTGTCTCTGGCAGCAGTTTTGATAGCTGGAAGGAAAATAGAGCCTGAGGAAAGGTGCTTTATAAAAAGAACTAGGGAATCAATAATTCTCCGTGGCCTCTTTTCCTACAAAGCTGAAAATCTTAGTCCTTGCGGTCCTATATATGCCAATCATAAAGAGAGGGCAAACAGCCAGGTCGTGCCATCGCTGGTGGCCCTAGGGGACATGGCTGAGCTCACGATGCAGGGTTGACTCGGTGTGATTTAACGCCTCCGTTTCCCGATCTGTCTAACCACAGGGCTGCTCTTCGCCAATCGTGGTGAAGTTTGCTGACACCCAAAAGGACAAGGAGCAGCGGCGTTTGCAGCAGCAGTTGGCACAGCAGATGCAACAGCTCAATACTGCCACTTGGGGAAACCTCACAGGTCTTGGAGGACTCACACCACAGTATCTAGCTGTAAGTTCATTTCAGAGGCGGTGGCTATGTAATGCTGTATTTATTTTAGAACCATGAAAATTAGCTATAGTAAACTCCCTTCAGTAAGATGCTACATCCTCCAGGACATGTAGTGTGTCTTCTAAAAAAACTCTGTATGTTTATTGCATGGTCTAACAGTAAATAATAAGGAATAGAATTTGAATAAATATTTCAATGTGTCACTGCTGTCCAAGGCAAGCACTTAAAGTTTACTCACGCTGCAAAATAAAATTTGATTCCATTAGTTTCATTGTTCTTTTGAACATTAGATTCTGTTTTTTATAGCGGGGATAAAATTTAAGTTATTCCTTAGGGAAGGACAGATAGGCATCTGAACACTGTACAGTCTGTATTTATATGGTGCAGCTTCGGATGTTCTGGTTCAGTCCTCTAATTTTACATATTTTCATCTGGAAATTACTTTTACTTTAATGCATGGTCCCATCAATGCTAAACATGCGTGATTCATACTATCTTTTACAGAAAGCGAAGATGGCAGAGGAAAGCAATTTGTCTCTCATAAATTTAAAATGATATTTTCTTTGATCCGTATGTAAGATGAAAAACAAGCACTAGCTGCTGCCCCTGTTGGAGAAATCTGAAATGCACGGCCGTGTGTCTTAGGTCCTGGATTGCCAAATCTCCCTTTGCAGCACAGCTGAGAGGGAGCCTGTTTTGGGAGGCTCTGGAGTTGCATGCACTGGTTGAGAAGCTTCTCGATAATTTGGGGGGTTCCTGGTGATTATGAGCTAGATGAATAGATGCATCTATATATGTACTGTATATGCATAAGTACATAATTTGTATGCATACAATGCTTTGGTACGGTGATATAATGATAAACAGCAATTTACCTGGCAATTAAAAATATATATTAGTATTGAGGTTAGGCTAATTAATACTGAGGTAGGCTAAATTGCTGTATACAAATACCAGTCTAATGAGTATCAGTGTGCTTGATTCATATAGATAATAAAGAAAAAAATTAATTCAAGAGGGTGGGGGAGAATGGACCGTGATTGACAGAGATGAGTTATAGTAACTACTAGACTACAGAGGGTTGTAATTAGTCACGCTATGTTGGTTTAAATAGATTTAACACCTGGTTGTTAAAAAGAATAAATTGATTAATTGTTTTAAAGCAGCAATGTTATTGAGTTTCCCTTGTGTCTGTGTGTTTCTTAATAGAGATTAGACATTAATATGGATTTACAGCGTTGACTCTAGGGATGTTCATTCCAACAATAGACGGAAGCAAGAGACTACATAAATGTAAAGGAAAGCATAAATACTCCAAATGTGAAATGATAGCTCATTTTAGTTTTATCTTCATTTGTTACATTAATGTCAGATAGATTGCTGTTTTGTGTTGTTAATTTGCAGCTTCTGCAGCAAGCAACTTCCTCCAGTAACTTGGGTGCCTTCAGCGGCATTCAGCAAATGGCCGGTAAGTTAAAAAGCATTTCATTTTGCTCCAGCTATGTTTTGTATTCTTAAGCTATTGAATTCTGTACCTCTAATAATCACATTGTCGGTTGGGGGGTTGTTGTGTATTAAATGTGGCAGATGTATTGGCAGGGGACAGCTCGCGGTTCAACGTCAATAGAAACACTTTCTCCCCTCTTTCAGAAACTGAAATTAAACCCAGTGCTCCCAGGTTGTGCAAACAGTTTGTCTTGCATTAGTCACCTGCCATTTGTCCAAAGTAACCAATTGTAAATTGCAGGAGAGCTCTTAGTCCCTGCAGCTGTATCCTTCCCTATGAAAAGTGTCAGTAAAGCAACAGCAGGATTACATTCTAATTTCCAGTGAGATTTCTGTGTCCGGAAAAATCAAATTAATGGCAGCCCTCAAACATTTTAATAATAGGTGGTGAGTAAAAATGTTCTGACCTTTTTAATGAAACCCAAGATTACAGGCCTACCTTTAGTATGAATTTTCAGGCTTCTTTTATAATCATGGAAAATTAACTGTGTGCCTTTTTGACTTTGGAACCCTAGTTGACAAAATTGCACAACAGAAGCTTTTATGTAAAGGTATAATCTTTAGTCTGGGGGAAAAAGAAAGGAAGAAAGAAAAAAAAAAAAAAGAAAGAAAGAAAAAAAAAATCAAAGCGTGAGCATATTTGAAAGCCAGCTAGTTGGAGGGTTTCTTAGTAATGAGCTGTGTGCCAGTAGTAACTGATGTGTAGTGATTAGCAAAAGGTCACTCCCACTGTGTGACCTACCATGCTGATACCCTAACTTAACATGATGCTAGAGAAGGCAGCATGTGCAGTAAATCAGAGCACAGATGCACATTATGCCTGCCGCGAGAAACTGTTAAAAAGCCTTTTTTCTTGTTAGAGGAGGGAAAAAAAAGGAAACACAAAACCCCCAAATTGCTACATTAGTTTATTTTAATCAGGAACCCACGGAATCAATGGCATACAACATTGTGCTTGCTTCATCATCACAAAACAAAGACTAAAATATTCAGAAGTCTTTATGAACAGCATTTTCTCACTTATCTTCTAATCCTGATCTTTTGCGTCTCTGGTTTGGCTTTGAATGAATCCTGAAATACTTTAACAAGTATAGATATACCGCACAGTATAGCTATACCCCACAGGTATTCTTTGCTCAATCGTTATATTATGCCATTATTGCAGTGACATCAGAGACTAATGTGAACCTGCTGTCTGACAATATAAATTGGCCTACAGATGACAATATCTCTGAATTATTCTCTCTTCCTCAGACCTGCTGGCAGTGCTTGCTGGTTCTATTATGTTACACTTGCAATCTAGCATTTTTTCATCAAAAAAATGTATCTTAATATGATAAACAGAACAGAGCGGTACAGTAACAGTTTTATACTTGGCAGTTTTGGAAGTGGCTTTGAGCTCAGAGATTGTGTTTAATGTTTCCATATTTGGTTAGGTCTGCAAAATGAAAGAATTGAGACACTGAGGAAAAATAATGTGATATATATTGCATTATATGCACCTTAGAAGTTTTCTGTTGCCTGTTTCTCACTGTTAGTGTAGATTCAGCTTTGTCTCAAACTGTGTTGAAACTAAGAATTTTAGTCAAGTAATTTGAGGAGGGGCTCTCAATCCAGGTTCAGATTTATTCTTAGGAAAGCATATGGTCTTGAGAGTAATAAATCATCTTAAGAAATTGTAGCAGTGCATCACTTTTACTTAAGAGATATAACTTCTTGACAAAGTATTAGATTCCTAATGAACTCATATATGGGATAATTTATTGACTGACTGCCTCTCCCGGAAAATAAATATCTTTTTACCTTATATTCATGTTATCAAAACTGCTCTAAATTTACTCCGTTCTTTCCCCGAACCATGCCACTCTTAAACCTTAGAGTTGAAGGTCAAATCAGTGATACTAAATTTCTTTCCAAGCTAAAGCTGTACATGAAAGCACAAAAGACTAAGCACTATTTCATCATTAGGACCAAGAGTTCATGCCCTCTCCTCAGAAATCATAAATTACCCCAGACTTTATCTGCAGTACTGTTATGCTGTGCACCTTGTATTAAAGATTTGTATGTCATATTTTACGAAAGGAGTAGAAAATGATCCTGAGTCTGCAGGAAGGTCTCGCATTACCTGAAGAAGCCATCCTTGAATATTTGTCCTTACAGTCCAGAAAGTAGCATAAAAGCCCAGGGTTTTTTTTAACTTAAGCTGTGTGCATTCATTTTACAAAAATGAATCCAATACGTATTTTTCATATTGTGTGTGGCTTGCGTATTAATAGAACGTGTCAAGATGAAGACTAAAGTCTAGACAAAATTGAGTAAGATGCTAAAGAAGATCCATTATTACAGCTAGCACATTCTTTGAGCTAAAAAAAAATATGTTTACAGTCAAATATTTGCACTTGTGCTGAATTTACTGGGAAGGGTTAGGCATTCCTCAACATAAGCAATGACAGCATCTGCATGCTTGGTTGACTCTGCATGCAAGAATTTATTCAAACATGTGCACTGTGAGGGGTCAAACTTCTGTCTTCGAAGTCAGCGGGTATGCTTACCACTTAGACACTAAGTTTGATCAGAAGCCACAGAAGCCATTGAGATTTCATTCTTACTTACATGTCAGGGCCCTAGCCCATGTCAGGGCTGTAGAACCTCTTGAGTGAGTAAGTCCCAGTGAAGTCACAGTTTGCTAAATTAGGATGTTTCATATAGCCGCCTGCTTGTCCAAAATTGGGGACCTCCAGATCTGTAAGTATTTATTTGTACTACTAGAGTTCATGGTGTCCCTGAACAGAACAGAAGGGACACAGCACACAGCCTGCTGTACATGTGAAAAAAATTTTTTACCATGCAGTCCTCTGTGATACTATTTCTTAGATCAAAACAATTTTCTTTGCAAGCAGAGCAACACTGGTCTTCAGTGGGAAGTTTTAAATTCCCTTTGTGTTAATATCATGCCTCAGACTAGTTAAATTTCATGTGGCAAAACCAGGGATTCTTTATTTTTATTGAAAGGAGTGTTTAGGCATTTTCAATTGGAGAGAACTAGAGTTTGTTTGGAAGATGGGGATCCAATCCAAAGAAACATGGGGATTAGTCTCAAGAACTGGCTAACACAGACATTAAACACACAAAGCATGAGCTCCAGAAGTGAATGTTGTTTTTGGTGTAACAGCCCACTGGCACTACTGTATGTTCAGTGTTGCCTTTGCCCTATTTTCATAAATCATGTGTGAAGTCCAAGTAAATCATGAACCTGGCTTAACTACAATTTGTGATATTTAGATTTGAGAGACAAAAAGTAGTAGCTTGCCATTTAGCTTTCCAAGCCTTAGGGTTCCACACTCAGTTCCCCAGCTTAGATTTTCTCATTTTTATTGAAAAATGAGATTTTCATAAAATCATTTTATTTCAGGAGTCAAGCTGAAAAAAAAATACAATTTAATATGTCAAGACTGGTAAAAATAAGTTGGCAGAGTTTGCAGGTCTGCTTTGTTATTATAATAATCCCCTTGTCTTGACTACAGGAGCTAACCCTACCTTGCCAAACGCTGCTTTATTGTTCTTTGTAGAACATGCAAGCACATACCATCACTGAGCATATATTTTATAGCTTTTCCTCCCTGCCTCCAATATCTGCTAATGCTAATTTAAAGGCAATGTTTTCTGTCACATGTCTCTCAAACTTTGGTGTCTAGCACATGCTTTGTCTTTGGGGAAGGCTAATAATGTGTACGAATTACATTATGTGATTTGTTTGTCTTATTTTAAAAAGACAATGCAAGCTACACTCAGCACTAGCAACCTTTCAAGAAAAAATAAAAAAATAAATAAAAAGATTGCTTCCTCAAATTTACAAAATGCATGCAAGGCTTAGTTCAAAGGTGACCGATGTCATTTGAATATTTACATTAAATTTGACTCAGATCCAAAAAAAAAGGAAGTTATTTAAGCCAACCTGCCTGTTTAAGAAGCACCTGGAAAGTACTATACCAACAGTAAAAACGGGGAGGCTTAGGGAGGTTTTATGCTCTGCTGGGTGGCTGTAAAAAAAAAAAAAAATCAAATGCCCAAAAGTATATAATCTATGAAGATGTTCTATTGCCTATTAATGTGAAATGTTTTGCAGGACTAAATTTTTGCTTATATAGGAATATGTCTATATATGTGACCAGTCAAGACACGTAAACATGTACAGTACTCATAAAAGACACAAAAGAACTCTTTTCTTTTCAGTGGACAGACAGTGTATTTTACTTCCTGAAGTCATGCAGGAGAAGAATCCATGCTTTTGGCTTTTCTTGCTTTGGATTTCAGACCCCTGAACCCTCTACAGCTGGGGCTTTTTATATTTTTCCAATGTATTTTTTTGTTCCAGTCCATTCCAAACTCTCTCACAGTTTCGTTGTGTTTTGAGTTGAACTTCTGGCCCATTCGGAGCCCTTTTCAATTCATTTCACCCTTCTTCTGCTACCCAAGCCAGATTTCCTCCTGTTGCAGAGTCTGTGGGAGCAGATGGGTGAGAGAAACTCTGCGAGGTTCTGCTTTCTGAATATTTTCCTCTAATTGTTGGATTGGCTCGGTGGATCTGGAGGGACCAGTTGGAAGCCAGGGCCATCTGCACAAAAGCTCTATACTTCTGCATTGGCCCAAGGATCTTTTATATCCTCTGACTCGGTGGTGGCTTCATTCCAGCAGAGCCATACTGAAGGAGGGCTTCTCCTGCTATGACCTCTTTAGGGATATCGTATTAAAAGTAAAGGTCAGCGAGAAACTCTTTCCAGCTCAAGGGAAATAGCTGTTTCTTAAAGATAACTACCAGTTTTGAAAATGTTGACCTCAGGGACTGAAAGCATTGAGCTTTTGTAACACTAATTCCATTGAAAGTCTTACTTAATTTAACCCGTACAATTTGCATTTTTTTTTAAAGATAATAAATTAAACAATTCCATTCAACATTTTTTG